TCGGGCAAGGCTGCCGGCTCGATTCAGGCATGCGAGATCGGGATCCGTCCAGATGGCTTCGGGTTTGAGTTCGCTGCAGGAGTTCGACCCCAACCGAGGTCGGAGAGGCTTCGGGTGGCTAGAGTTGGCGACGAGGCGTTCGGCCTTGACTGGAGATGGGTTTGACGAAGGGGTTCAGCCTTGGCTAGGGTCGGACGGGCTTCGGCCTTAGAAGGAAGAGGAAACCCACGGCTTCTCCTTGGAATCGGTCAGCGTCTGCGAACAAATGAGGCAGGGAGATCGGCGTCGGGCTTCCTAGCTTGGTCAAAACAGAGGAGAAACGGAGAGGGAGAGGGAGCTGGAGAGGTTTCGGCCTCCTTCCTGCTTCTTCGCATCAGAGAGGATCCGAGAGGGAGAGAGAGCTCAGGTGAGTCAGAGGGAGAGATAGCTCGGGTGAGTCAGAGGGAGTCGGTCGGATGCTCCTGAGCTGCTGCGAACTGAGAGAGAAGAAGGAGGAGTTCGGTCCTTCTCTGATTCCCGAACTGGAGAAGACCGAGAGCCAGGGAAAACCAGGGAGTCGCACGGGAGAGAGCTCGGCGTGAGAGGGAGAGGAAGAGAGATCCCCTGCCCTAGCCGAGAGCCTCGTTTGGGTAAATTAAACCTATTACCGAGAGAGGAAGCCCGCCCTCTCCGATCCGTCACCGCAGTCACTCAAAGCATGCAAATGAAGCCTGCCATCTGCTTCGTATCGCTGCTCTGTCTGAGAAGACCACAGATAAACGGTCGATTGATTTAAACCGTTCGATCAAATTCTTATTAAGGAACTTGATTCGAATGGGTCAAAAGCAGCTTAGAGATTAACTGAAATTGATCTAAATCAATTAAGCTGAGATTAAGCCGAATTGAACTCTATTCGAGCACATTTGGGTTGATTTAAGTTCAAATGGGGTCGAGCCAGCTCAACGAATTTAATCGTACGAATTGAATTTAAAATTGACATCAATTTTAAATGTCGAGTCTAATTTAAATCAATTCGGATCAATTCGAGTTGGAATTTGGCTCGATGAGGTCTAATTGAATCAATCGAAGGTCGTCGAGCATATTCGAGCCAAAATTGAGGTCAACATCAGCCATATGTTGGAATACTCACAACCTACCCTTGATCTTCTCTATATTTACTAGTCATACCACTCCATAAAATAATAAATAGTCCCTCATTCTTCACATGAGAGTAAGAGTAGAAAATGAGAGAACTTGAGAGCTCTCTTGCTCTACGGGAGGGATCGCGAGCGAGTGCAGGCGACTGGGCGAGTAGGGCCAGAAACCGGGTTAAACGGGTCGACCTGCGGGTTGTCGGGTCAACCCGGACCCGGCCCTTTTTCAAACTGGTCAAATTTTTGAACCCAAACCTGACCCGTTTAATAAACGGGTTGACCCAAACCCGGATTTTTTGGGTCGGGTTCGGGTCAGGTTTTCGGGTCGGGTCAGAAATCGACACCCCTAGCCTCAGGTGGTGGTTCGGCGAAACTCCGTCCCTGGTCCGACGAAACTCTGGCGGTGGTCCGACGAAACTCTGGTGGTGGTCCGGCAAAACTCTGACGGTGGTCGAGGAGGAGCTTCTTCCTTCTCTTCTCTTCTTCTCTTATTCTCTTCTTGAATGGGTCCCTTTTCAAAAGAAATGAGGGGTCTATTTATAGATTTCTGGAGTGACATGGTCTATAAATAGGTGAGAGATCAAGGGTAAATGAGGAGTGGTTGGATGGACGGTCGATGTTGAATACCTTGATCATGGACCGTTTGATGGACATTTAAATTTCTTATTAACATTGGAATTCAATGATCTTGGGCTCGTTGGATTTGTCTCGTCGAGCTGCTCAATTCGACTATAAGCACGTTATGTTTGGAAACCGTTTGAAAATCCAAATTGTGGTTCGAACCTTCCAATTGTGCTTCTAACCCTTGATTTGGACCTGTTTGGGCTCAGATTAGGTTGAATGTAGTGTCGTTGGGTTCGTATTCTCGAGACTCTCAGCCCGACTATAATTTTGTTGAAATCGGAGTTCGGATGGTCCCAATTTTAATTTCAGAAGTTTCCAACTTGATTTTGCATTGAGATTCGTGCCCGATCAAGATAATTTTTTGGATGACATATCAACCATATTGCTTCTAATGAAATGATAATTTTGATATCTTATAAAACTTATGTCTGTACAAAATTGATGTGCTGCCAGCTTTTGGATTGATGTGTGAATCAAACATAGTTAAAATTGTGTGCCCTAATATATCTTTCTATCTTGTTTCTTATTCTCAAACATCCCCATCAACTTCCCAAGACTTCAAACTTGTCAGCCTCTCAAAAAAACCAAGTCTTATTTTGCATCAACTAAAATCTTATAAATCATCAAAATAATTTTATTTATTGCACATTAATGTGTTAGAACTCTTAAACATGTTTGCTTAAGAAAATACTATAAATGATGATCAAACTATGATTAGTTATCTATTTAATTAAAAAAGAAATCAAATGTTGAGGAAAATATTAAAATTTTCTATTATATGATACAAACAATTTTACAAAGAAAACTAAAATTTTATAAAAAATAATGGAAAAGGTTTTTGAAACAAAGCCTTGGATCAATTTATTTTTTAAGGAAAATTATTCCTCAATAAAATAGGATATTCGAAAGAATAAAAAAATAAAAACTTATCAAAATTAACAAGAGCTTTACTCTTTACCAATCACGTGCCAACATATCTCATCAATCGGAACAATTATTAGGTCCGGTGATCGGACGTAGCTCTACGTTCGGTCATCACTGAGTTACCAAGTATTTACTCGGTATTTGCTCGGTATTGCTAGGTATTGCTTGGCAATAACAAGAAATACCGCTCTGTGAAGACCAATGCCGAGTAACACCGAGTTTTTCTAGAAAAAAACTCGATTTTCATTACTCGGTATTGTTCGGTATTGCTCAGTATTTATCTTCACATAATGATATTTCTCGTTATTGTCGAGCAAAATCGATAAATACGTGGTTTTGTGCCTGCTACGTGGCGCAATTTAGTGCCGGCCGAACACTAAACAGGAGTAA